ACACACAGACTGTGAGTAGGGAAGCGGGATAACGTGGCCTTATAAGGGGCTGCTGCCGATAGGCGTCCGATGGGTGTTATGAGAAGGTGGCTGCAAATGCTGTGACGATAGTGGTACTTTGGTTGCTGTCGATTAAGCTGGGAATTAAAGAAGGGAGGTTAGTAATCGGGGTCGGAATGGGAGTAAGAGAGAAAGGTGGAAAAGAAAGAAGGGAGGTGCCAGCAGTAGCATGTTTTAGTTTATGCGCCCTGCTGTATTCAACAGATTAGGCTACCGATGATAATCTGCGCGACGGCCGATGCATGATGAAGAGTATGTTTGAATAAAAAGTCATGGTTGTTTGTGGGGTGAAATACTGCTAGGGCACCTAGACCTAGACAGGAGGACGATTAGGGTCATCGTCCAAAGGTTTTGGCTGAAAAGCCTGTTCCCAAGGCAGCGGGGAGGTGGTAATGATTCGGTTTTACAGAAATGGACGCTATCCCATTTCCAATCCCCAACCTGGAGCACCAGGATACTGAGTTTATCTGACCTCTCACCATTGACCAACCTGGTAGGAGTAGCTCTCAATATGCCCGTAGGTACCATGCAATATAGCTCAATGGGTCAAGGAGGTACGCAAACCGTCGCAACACTTTAACGTCCGGTCTCCTTGCGTCGGAAGTTGGTACGAGATGCCTTGGAAGCACACTTGTGAACGTTCGACCTGCTAAGTTCATCTCAGCACAGTTTTCGTAAAGGCTTCTCTTGCCTTGTATGGATGCCTTGTTGTATGCTCGGAAGGCTGAGTCGACACGTGGCGTCGGGGAAAGATTCTCAATGTGCTTTTCATTGACTTTGCCAACGCTTTTGATACCGTCCCGCCTTCTCGCCTGTTGTGTAGGCTGTGGCCTTGCGGTATCTTTGTGCAATCGCTACAGTGGGTGATGGCATTTCTCTATTGTAGGGGATGTGTGTTCGGGTAAGTTGGAGCCTTTGTCTCGCCTGTTTGTTCTAAATAGTGCTCCGCAGTGGTCCGTCCTTGCTCCACTGTTGTATACATTGTATGTTAATGATTGTATGTTACTTCTTTGTCTGAGAAACTGGGGATCTCGTCTCGTTTTTGCCTATGATCTTAAGTCCTGGTGCACGGTTTGTGACCCGTGTGACTCCCAGCTTCGACAGAATGCGCTTGCTCGTCACTGGGATTGGTCCACTTTGTGGCAATTGCCCATAAATCCTTCAAAGTGCTCAGATTCGCGCTTTGAAGACAGTGGTCTATCAACACCCTACTTTTAGGGGGGCATCGAACTACCACGCGTAATCGGGCAAACCGACCTAGATATCACGTTGACACTGAATCTCAAGTTTAGCGCAAACTCGGCAAAGGCTGCTTCCAAGAGATTCAGGATGCCTTGGATGATCCGCAGATCATTTGGAAGCCTAACTGGCGAGAAGTTAAGCTCTATACCTCTTTCGTCAGACCCCACTTAGAGTATTGCGCCCAAGCCTGCCCCCTCGTTTGGGGCAATACAAGATGGCAGTGGAGCGGGTTTTGAGGATTGGCACCAAGATGGTGCGTGGGCTAAGACTTGTGTCTTATCCTGAGAGACTGCTTATTCTTGGTCTTTTCCCATAGCACTATCGGCGTCAGCGTGGTGATCGCATCTTATCGGGTCAGATTGGTCCGAACTTATCTCACCTTTTCCTTTCAGCTCGATTTCCGACCCTTCGTGGGCGTCCAAGGAAGCTACACAAGTCTTGATCCTATCGGGTCTGGGCTGGTGTTATTGCGTAGGATAATTGACCTTTGGAATGCCCTGCCTGAGGATGTGTTGGCACCAACGGTTAAGCCGCTCGAACACCGACTTGACGCCCTCGGTTTGCAGCTACAACTCTTTCCCTTCCCTTCTTAGCCCAAATTACAATTTTCCATTTATGTTTTGTCTTTACTTCCAGTGTTTATTTTAAGTTCTTTTTCTTTATTTTTTCCTTCTCTTCCGTTTTGTTTTATTTCCATTTCACGTGACCGGCGCAGCGGGGACTGCTTGTGCAGAACACGTGAGCCTTGATTGGTTAACCGCGGTGTGATGCGCGTGCCGATTGTACACTCCCAGAAGATAAATCGAATCGCTGAAATCTACCGCGGCTCAACGACGCTTCCACAATGTGGCATCTATGGGATTCTCCTATAGTTCCTGTTGCACTTGAACTTTACAAACTACAAAATGAGTTTCATATATCTAACAACCAATATATGGTAGCAGGATTATGCGTTGTTTTATCTCCGTCATGCACATTATGAAGTGAGTCATTGGTAAGTGACATTGAAGTGTATGTCGAACGGCGCTACTTATTAAAACGACTTCCCATTACTTTTGTCACTGTGCTACCACATTCGCGGGTTATTACAGACCGTTGTGGAGCACGGTGTTGTAGGTCCGAGCGTGACCTTGCGGTGATCCCTAAGTTAAGCAGATCGGTGTACTTCGGGTAGACGGCCATTGATTCTTCCTCTTTTCTTTACCTTCACATTCAGTTTCCTGTGGTCTCTTACTAGGTGTTCGTGATATGAGCATCCAGCCACATACGAGGTATTTGCTTTCCATTGCAGCTCTCCAGGTCTGTTACGATCTCCGGACACGGAAGTCCTCGGAATCCTCGACCGCGCGCATACTACACCAGGTCCCCATCTTGTTACGGTCGGTCTAGATGGTGGGAAGCTACTTGCTTAAACAAGATGTCGAATGTATCGAGCAACCTGTGAAGCCAGAAAGTAAAGCTCTTTATTGATTACTACATTGTTGAAGCATGTGTGATTCAAAACCAGTCGTTTGCGCCAGCTTGCGATGGATTTTGCGTAAGTGATCTTCCGCTCTCATTTATCATTTTCGTTAACTATGCAGTTTCAGCCAACATTTTTCCTACTTCTTGTGTTTGTTGTGTGCTTGCTATCGTATTTATTTGCTGCCACTCAAGCGGTCGTCATTCTTCCTGAGATGTCAACTAATGTCAGTTGTTAATAGTACGCAGTATAGTATTTTAAAATCCTCCACTGTGTACCATTAATTTCTTAACCTTGCGGTAAACCGTGACAATCTACACTTTCATTCTATTTTTTCAATGACGCCGTTGTTATACTGTTCGATCATTGCTGCTCTGTATGTTTATCTGCTGTATTGCTTCCTTATTTCCACGTCCGCTTGTCCGTAGCCTTAAGGATCACAAGCGTGCCTTGCACTCTGAGGGCGCGTGTCCAATCCTGTGTAAGGACCGGGCTACGCTTGCCCAGCTGCGACTGGTGGTGGTTGTGCGGCAGCACAGCTTCTGTACTGCGTATGCGCGCACTGCCGATACCCTTTTTTATCGCGTATAAGCCCACTGGTTCCAGGATTGTTGCTCGTATACTTAGTTTTACTTCGGTGACCTAGCGATGCGCTGTCAATATACTAGCTGACCCGGTCTAGTTTCTGGACGACCGCGCCTAGTTTGCTAAGTGGATTTGCACGCTAAAACTCACCAGGCACTATTTGCCTTTGCTTATTTGGCCTGTCCTACTTTCTTTAACGCATGCAGATCGTTTTGTTTCTTTGCATTACTGTCTACATTGTCTTTGTTCAGTCTAATTGCCTTATTTACGCTGATGCCTTGAAACATTGCTTTTAGATATCCTATCTTGGGTATGCTGACAGAGTACAGGTGTCATTGAGCATGTTACCTGCGTGGTCAATCAAGTGGCGGTTGCCCATAATCGTAACAACTACCAAGTTCTCCCAGCGAATACCTCTGAGTCATTCAGGACGTACCATATCAGTGTGTTCGTATCATGTAATCCACGGTCTACACAGGGCACATTGCGGAAACGACTTTGCCACCAGGATGTCCCATACTATGCGAAAAAATTTTCCTCGGTTGATTTCAGAGAATCCTTTTTACTTCTCTCGTGCGCCCGATCCTCGAATACTGAATACCGGACGTCTGTCCTCTTACGAAATTCAAATGCAACTTCATTTGGGTCAAATGGCGTGATTTGAAATCCATCTTGAAGTTACGGTATGCCGAACAACTTTATGGTGCCAACCGGCATTATCTCGATCCAGCGAATGGTTCGGCGGCAATGTTTCAGGACGTGGTGGGTTTTCGCCTGACAAGGGTGCTCCTTACAACAATCCACATGTGTCCGTTTAAAAACACTGCGATGTGGCGGATGTGACTTGCCGTTAAATAAAGTCACTGCCCCTTATTTCACCTTGGTGATGCATTGTATCCCAGCATCTTGCTGCCGAAATCGTTGGGAGCATTGGGCCCCTGTTTGGCTACTCGCCAAACGAAAAGCATATGAACTGAGCAATTGGTGCTAATCCCTAACTTCGCTCCGTTGCCTTACGAGTAGGCTATTGAGCCCAAGGTGAAGTGCTCTAAGACAACTTCTTACTTCGACTTGGGCAACCGGGTAGTATCGTTCCCCCTGTGATAACCATGGATTTTACAATTACTACTGCGTCGCTTTTGCTGCCATTTTCCCTGCTATTCATGCTTCTTCATCACGCCAACTTTTCTCTTGTTGATAATCCACAACCTGTTGTATCTACTTCCACTGCCCGTCTCACTGCTATCCAAATCGTCCGGCCATTATCTGTCCTTCGGCCCTGTTCTTTATTCCGCCTGGCAGCGTTCTATGTTCGGACACTCCTACAGATTAGACAACAGGCTGGCCTGGCGCGCATTCTAGAGTCCCTAGCCAGCTATGTTTGTTAACTTTCCGAGCCTCGATTACAAGATCCCAACACTGTAATTAAGTTATTTTCCCCATCTGTTCTTGAAACCACAAATTACTACGTCTTCCTGATGACATGGATGAAGCAGCCGGCTCAGCTGATGTCAGTATTGCATTGACTGACCATGCGCAGACTGCATTTCTCGACCGGTTTCCGATCTACGACCGGCTGTGTGCGGTTCGGCTTCAAGGCTCATGTAGAATCAACAGACATCATTAAGAGAAAGCAATTTGTTTGTCGTTTCTGCCTATGCTCCAACCGACTGCAGCTGTGCCTCGGTTAAGGATGACTTTTGTCATGGTTTCCACGACCTTTTGCACAAGGCCGAATAGTCAGATGCCATCGTCGTTGCCGGAGATCTCAATGCACGAGTAAGTCGCCTGGTTCCGTGCGAACAACATCTTGCTGGCAGTCAAGCGTTTGATGAGAGTCGTTTTGACAACGGTGATAGACTTCTCATGTTATGCGAAGACCACCGTCTGGAAACTTTCGCAAGCTCTTCCAAATCATTTGGGCCACTGGTCACAAAAGACTTGGTATCAGTGAGGTCATTTGCAAGATTGACGGAACGTCGATCAGGAACTTACACAGGCGCATGGACCGCACTCATTCCAGCTGGCATCCGCCGCCGAGCCTGAGTATATCTAGTTGCGCGCCTTGGAACGTCTCATTGGAACCACCCATTGAATCTGTGGTCTGCTTTCAGTTCAGACACTTAAAGCGACTCAAGTCTGCTGGCCCAGACGGACTTCTTCCGGAGCTGTTCAAGTTCGGTGACGAAGAAATTGTTAACTATCTAACAGCTCTGTTCTCTAACATCTGGTGTGATGAAAGATTTCCAACAGCTTGGGGAAAAGAAGTACTCATCCCGATCTTCAAGAAAGGTGCACGCTCCCTGTGCGCTAACCACCGAGGAATCAGTATAATTTCCGTTGCATCCAAGCTGTTAACATACATTCTACTCCGTAGACTAACCCTGATTCGAGGATTGCGTTTCCGCGAAGAACAGGCCGATTTCCGCCCCGCTCAAGGGTGTATAGACCACCTGTTTACTCTCTGCCAACTCCTTGAAGTGCGCCATCTTTACCGCCAGCCCACTATCGTTGTTTTTTTAACATTCGAGCCGCTTTTAACTCTTTCGATCGGCCAGATTTAATTCGTTTGCCTAAAAAGGAATGGAGTGCCCAAAAAGTAAATCACCATCTTTCCTGCATACTACTGCAGCGTCTCAGGTCAAGGGAGGGTTTACGGTAAGCTCTTTTCATCTTTTGCCGGCACTAGCGGCGTACGACAGGGTTGCTCTGTGTCTTCGTTTCTCTTCAATTTGCGATCGAGGATGTCCTTTTAAACGATCTCATAGGCTTTCATGGTTCTGATGTTGATCTTCTTCCTGGCAACCGCGTGACCGATTTAACTTATGCTGATGATATTGCCTTGCTTGGTGATGACGCACAGAGTACACAGGCTGTTCTAAACCGCTTGCCGATTAAAGCATCAAAATATGGAATGACCTTTGCCCCTACGAAATGCAAAGTCCTGATCATGGATTGACATCCACCTGCCCCAGTGCTCACTCTTCAAGGTACGCAGCTTGAACAAGTAGACAACTTTGTTTACCTGGGTGGCAGTGTCTTTGCTGATGGTAGTATTAAAAGAGACATTTCCCTCCGCATTACCAAAGCCCACTTGGCGTTCGCCAACCTGAGGCATCTGTGGCGATGCCATGACGTTTCACTGTTGCTAAAGGACAATGTCTACAATGCCTATGTTCGCGCGGTGCTGCTTATGGTAGTGAGTCCTGACTGATTCGTATGAATGACTTGCGTCGCATTTTGGACTTTGACACTAGATGTCAGCGGAGAATAGCTCGAGTGTGGTGGATGAACAACGTGCGCAACGGTGATGTTAGACGTCGCGGCTTGGGGAACACGGGACTTCCACTTAACCTAATGGTACCGCTGCACCAAATGAGATGGCTGGGCCACGTTTTACCCTTGCCACGCGAACAGTTGCCCCGACGCGCTCTCTTCGCTCACACAGCACCGGGCTGGAAGAAATCGCACGGTGGTCAGTCTATCAGGTGACTGTGAACGATTAAAACGCTGAATTCCAGTTTAGCTGTCTTAGATCCCGTGCATCTTCCGGGCTGCGGGATATAAAATGAAGAACGCGGCTGACTGGAAAAAATTTCGGCGATGGCGCAGAACCGGGCCCAATGGAAAACGAATATTTGCCTTGATTTTCTCAATCTACATCGCAAACAATTAACAGACAGAAAAAGACAAAACGGCTGAGTTCCTCAAGCAAACCTCCAAATCACTTACCGCCTTGTGGGTCAGGCTATTGAGCCAAAGGCTCCGGGTGGAGTCCCTCAAGTAAACCTCCGGAGCACATCCGCCACCTCGCGTGCGATTGCCCACCAATGCAATCGTATGCCTGCGCACAAATCACTCAGCATTGGATGCTGGAACGTGCGCACAGTGCGGGGCCGGAACTTCAGTGATCGCCTCGGGCGACGCACTGCACTGGTCTCCATGGAACTGGCGTGCTACGACATCGATATTGCGGCGCTCAGTGAAACCCGGCAAGGTCAGTTGCTTGAAGCAGGTTCTGGCTTCACATTCTACTGCGTGGGCAACGCCGCCTCAGCACCACGTGAACATGGGGTCGGATTTGCAATATCCGATCGTCTCCATGGCCAGCTGGTGGGTGAACCAACAGGCATCAGCGCGCGACTGATGACTGTTCGCCTACGACTCGGAAGAGGTAAGTTTGCCACATTTATAACCACGTACGGCCCGTCCCTGTGTTATCCTAATGACACGCGTGATTAATTCTACACTGAGCTATGTTCCTTGATACGGTCTATGCCGAGGAGCCGCCGACGATTTATGCTAGGCGATTTTAACACGTGCGTTGGGCATGATGCATCGGTATGGACAGATGTTATCATGTGTCAGCTTATACGCCGTAACGGCGCTTCGCTGCCGCGCGACCACCACCAGTTGCGCGCGGGCTGAGTATACCGCGAGGACGCCCACCCCTACGCGGACAGATGTTATCAGTCCGCATGGCGTTGGTA